GGATGTGTGTACTATCGAGGGAATTAGGGAGCCCACAATTAAGCATATGGGCATTAAGATAATTGTCAGTTGTGTTGGCGAACGTGATGGCAGACAGATGGATCAGACTCAGCCCGCTCTCCACTCGGCACCATGGGACATTACTTTGGATTTTACCTGCCTGAATAAATTCACAGTGTTTTCACCAACAGAGGAAGAAGAAAGATTAGAGGATGGAGAGAGAGAGAGTTTGGCTGTGTTCACATACTACATACTACTCACACTATTTCTGTAGCGTGTGTGTAGTTTGTGAATTTTGGTAAAATGTGCCTAATACAGAACAAGAAACATGCTGTTCAAAACACTCTATACCACAATGCAACTTGATCCTCCATACGGTGTGATGAATTAACCACTTTATAATATCTAATAATCTTTTTTTTTTTTATTTAATAGTTTTTATGTCTCTTTACTCACTCATTTTTTTTTTTCATTGCTTAAAAAATAAAATACAATTTTTATTTATAAATAATGATTTAATGTTATATTTATTTTTATAGTCTCTTTCTTGACTTACATTTTTATTGTTATTTTGTATTTTTTATTTAAGAATAATTTGTTTTATTTATAAAAGAATATTTTTTTATTAGTTTGTTTTTATTTTTTATTTTTGTCTCTTGGCTAATTTAATTTTTTAATCAATTCTTATTTTTATTATTTTTTCATGAATCATTTAAAAATTTAATTCATAAGTAATTTGAATGTCTTATTATTTTATTTTTTATATTTTTTTCATTATTTTAAAAAGAAAATATATATTTTTTAATTTATAAATAATCGTTTTAATGTTTTATTGTTCTCTTTCTTGGCTTTTTGCCAATGTATTATTTTTTTTTTTTTTTGTATTTAAAAAAAAGAGTAATTATTTTATATTTTTAATGTTTTATTGTTCTCTTTCTTGGCTTTTTGCCAATGTATTATTTTTTTTTTTTTTGTATTTAAAAAAAAGAGTAATTATTTTATATTTATAAATGATTATTTTTTCAGGTTTTATTTTATTATTATTTTATTTTTCTCTCACTCTTGACTGTTTCTTAATTAAATCAAATGTAATTCCACCAGAACCTGCGTTCACATTGGAAATGGCATGTTGAGTGCATCGCATTATGGCATGCATTATTCTGGGTGTGTTCTGTTACATATTACACATCTGTATTACATATATTCCATGCATGCATATAATTAGCATTCTATGAAGAATATACATACACTGTGTACTAGAGAAATAGTATCAGTAGAGTGCTATTTCAAACAAAGCCAAAGAGAGGGTTTGTGTTTGTGTGCGGCGCCCCCCGATGGCTTGTGTGAAACTGACAGAATGTTCTGGATGGTTTTATCTGCTCCTGAATGAATGCATTTGCATGTTTAGATGTGTTTGTAACGTCTCTCTCTCTCTCTGTGTTTCTCCAGGTGGGAGGCCATCGTGAGGACTCTGTGGGTTTGAGGAGCGGTCACTCCATCGTGGCCAATCAGGTGTCAGTATCGCAGCTTCCTGTGCAGTCGGCCACTTCCCCCGACCTCAGCCAGTCTGATCCGTACAGGGGTGAGTGTGACACACACACACACACACACACACACACACACACACACAAAGAGAGAGAAATAGACAGAGAGAGAAATATATAAAATTTGTTAACATTAACTATAATAGTTAATATTGTAATGACCCGGCAGTGAGCGCTAGCAGCCAGGTGCATTATGGGTATTTGTTTAGCGTTGATTTGTGTGTTAATTAAGCAAGATGGTTGGGTTTTTGCGTTAGCAATGTTATGTGTTTATGTTCAAGTTAGTTCGGGTGGGTTTGGTTCATTTACTGCCCTGTTGTGAAAAAAGTGTGGCTGTCACCGTCATGGAGAGAGATGTGTAGGAGAGGGACTTGGCGATATGGCCTTGCCTGTGCAAATTCTTATTCTGTGTTCAGAATAAAAGGAGAAAGAAGACAGTACCGCCTCCTGCTGGTTTGTTTTGTCTATGCTTCTGCTCAAAGAGACACTCAGGGTCGTGCGGTGTATGGGTCGCGAGTGCTCGCACTTTCCACTAACCAAATTAAAAGTCTCGACATGTAGATGTTAGAACCCTGTTAGCAAGCCTAGCTTAGTTCCGGTTAGCCCCACGTTCTACAGAACAACCGCACGTTGTTACAATATGAACAATCATTATATAGCATTTATTAATGTTAGTTAATATTAAGTTCAGAACTTACTAATACATTATTAAAATGTAAAGTTG